GAAGAGAAGGGAGACAAAGAGGAGCAATCTGCAGAGGAGAGTGAGGACGAGAAGAGGGAGGTTGAAGAGCAAGAGAAGCAAGGTTCAGAAGATGAGGACAGCAGCGAGGCAGATGAGAGCGGATGCGAGGAGCAGAGTAAGGTTGAGGAGACAAAGGACGACGAACAAGAGAAGCGAAAGACCAACGCTGATGACAAGGAGAACAACTCACCAAAGAGTGACACCGATGAAGAACAGGAAAAACAAACAGTGAAAGAGAGCGACGATGAGAAGAGTGAGGTCGAAGAGCAAGAAAAGCAAGGTTCAGAAGATGAGGACAGCAGCGAGGCCGATGAGAGCGGAGGTGAGGAGAAGAGTGAGGTTGAGGAGGCAAAGGACAAAGACCAAGAGAAGCAAAAGACCAACGAAGAGGATGATAGCGAAGTTGATGACAAGGAAAACAGGTCAGAGAAGAGTGACACCGATGAAGAGCAGGAGAAACAAACAGGGGAAGACAGCCAAGATGAGAAGAGTGAGGTCAAACAAGAAGAGCAGGAAAGGCCAGAAGAAGGTGGCAAAGAGGAGCAAGTAGCAAAGCAGGAGGATGAAACAAAGTCGGATACGAGTGCCCTTCTTGACGAAGCTATGGCCGAGTGCACAAGTTCCTCTAGTTCATCGGAGGACTCAAGTTCATCCCAAAGTGATGACGAGGGTGACAAAGGCAAAGACGATGATTCACTGAACAATGCAGTCAACAATGCACAGCGCAAGGCCGAGCTGGATGCAGCAGGGATGAACAAATTTGAAGAGTACATCACCTCTTCTGCCCCAGATGATACAGCCGTTGAAGCCCTGCAACCTGAGAAAGCAGAGAAACCTGTCCGCAAAACAGTGCACCCAAGAGACCGCTTGAAATATCTGAAGAAAGGAGATTTGGAAAGCGTGTTCAAGACTGAGGAGGACAGCAAAGACACAAACGCAGGAAGCAAACGTAAAGACCAAAGCAAGGACGACACGAAGCTGAAGAAATGCAAAAAGGATGTCAAACAAGAAGTCACGTCGCAAGATGACTTGGAGGGAGAGCTCGAGCGGGAGCTCAACAAGAATCAGGAACCACCAAAGGTCATTCCGACAAACCGAGTTCGGCAAAAGTCATCAGGCGCTCAGGGGGGTATTGAGTGGGTTCCTCACTCGCACCATCATGGCTCCCGTGTGTGGTCAGTGGTAGGTGCTTGTAAGGTGTCTCGTGGTTAGAAGGTATCAAAGCAACCCATACCAAAATAAAGAAGATATGGTCTATCCAAAGCTATGTTGGATGTTGGGATCATTGATCAGTGTGGGAGATTGTTAGTTTGTAATGGAAGGATCCGACCATATCTCAAGGCCCCCCCAACCACTGTCACTGCCCACTGCCCAGGGCTCTCGATCCCAGCGGCCGCCTCCGCTGTAAAAGAAGAGTCTGAGCCCTGCAAGACGAGCAAGGCTGGAAGTCAATTTTTTGAACCTTACAGTGTGAGGATGTGTGAGGGGTTTGGCAAGGAAAGCCCGTTGGGCCAGCATGGATGTTGAACAACACCCAACTGCAGTAACACCTGGCCCTGTCCATCAGGTGGCATCATCAATTGTTCACACGGAGCGCTTCGAGGACTTGGCATACAACTCGTTTCGAATTGCGATCTCGAATGCCCAGGCATTGGCACTCAAGAGTGTTGGGGGCAGGATCCCAACACCTCAGGAGCAACTAGCGCTGATTAAAGACAAGAGAACCAAGAAGACCCGCAACACGAGCCTGAGCTGCTTCATCGCACACACACACCATACATAATCACCCGTCACATGGTTTTGCGATAACCCGACCATACAACACATTAGTTTTGACACTCCTTGGGTGTTTTTTTGGTGCGGGGGAAGTTCATGGTACACTTCCTTTGGCTAATCTTGGGTGATCCTGAGGAAGTTCTTCATGCTTGCAGTTGCTACGTTGCAGGACTGGCGGGTGGAGTTCCGGCGACGGCTGAGTGGACAGGCAGAGGGTGATCTCTACAAAGCCTACCAAAGGGTCTCCACGGGCAAATACTACTGGACATT